CTAAAATTACAACCCCTGACTTGGCGTGTCAGAGAAAATCAGGGGCATGAGCCAATCACTTCTGAGCCAAGGGGCTGTGTTTACTCTAAGCAGGGATCTGTATATCCATAGTCAAACCCTTCTCCTTGAACATGTGTACATCCACACAGTGTGGAGGTCTGTGGATTCTACTTGTAGAAATACTTTTGCATCTTAGGTTCATAATAAATCATTATATAAGTAAGTCAGGCATCAGGATTCTTGTTGCACATTTTCCAATTTCATCCTTGTTATGTAACTGTGGCAGTTCTGCTTTCTCAACTGTGACCAGGAGTCAGAGCAGGCGAGAAGTCGTGAGTATATGCTTGTTTGCATCTAGACTTCACAAATAATAGTCCTTCAAAATCCATATCCGATAGTTTAAAAATAAGCTACTTCTCACTAGGAAATACATTGGATGCAAATAACAGAGTGACAGTTGCCTCCATAGAAAAACAGGGAATTCAGTCTGTCCGGAAGACATGCTCATGCAAGGAAAGAGTACAGATTCCAGATAGCCATGGGACTTGCTTAATTTTATGTTCCAATGAAATTTAAAAAACATAGTAAAAAAAGATGTTTAAGTTCATAAAATAATGCTATAAAATTCTTAGGTTGCAGAGAGTGGTGAGATAGACCTCCTCGTGGGGTTAAAGAGTTAAATAGGTCAGCAACAGTCCAAATGCACCTCACTAGAGGACTTTTGCCACAGTTTTGGGGAGTTCATCTCCTTTTTAAATATTTTAGAGTTCGACGAGACACATACTTAGAGTGTTAGAATTAGACTTAGGGCTCAAAGCAGTCATATTTTAATGCTCAAATTGCCTAACATATTAAATATTATTTCTGAGTCTAGACCATTAATAGTTGAAGTTTTGGAAAGAAAACCTTGGATGTGTGCTCCCCAGTTTTTCCCATAGCATGCCCTGAAGGGAAAGTGTCCACTCTCTACCTCTGGGCAGCACACTAGACCCCAAACCTGCAGGGAAAGAGCCCACTCTCTGACTCTGTACAGCACGCTAGACCCCAAACCTGAAGGGAAAGTGCCCATTCTCAACTGGCTAATGAAGCTAAGTGTTAAGGTGAAACCAAAGAAAAACATATATAGATCCTGAAAATTGAAAGCAGACAAGATCACCAGGCAAAAGTTGGGATCATGGGGGCTGGGGGTAGAGGGAAGAAGAGAAGGGGAGAGAGATGGGAGAAGGGGTGGGTTGGGGAGAACTTGGGGGACTGGGATGGTTGAGATGGAGGAAGGACAGATATGGGAGTAGGGAATGAGATAACTTAATTGGGGGAGCCATTTTGGGGTTGGCAAGAGGCTTGGCTCTGGAGGGGTTTGCAGGTGTCCAAGGGGATGTCCCTAGCTAGGACCCTGGACTGTGGAGGAGAGGGTGTCTGAACTGCCTTTTCCCATAGTCAGACTGATGACTATCTTGAATATCAGCATAGAACCTTCATCCAGTGATGAATGGAGACAGAGACAGAGACCCACATTGGAGCACTGGACTGAGCTCCCAAGGTTCAGTTGAAGAGCAGAAGAAGGGAGAATATGAGCAAGGAAGTCAGGACCATGAGGGGTTGGTTCACCCACCAAGACAGTGTGCCTGAGTTAATGGGAGCTCACTAACTTTAGCTGAACTGGGAATGAACAAGCATGGGATCAAACTGGACCCTCTGAATGTGGTTGACAGTTGGGGAAGACTGAGGAGTCAATGATAATGGCACTGAGATTTGTCTCTACTGCATGTATTGACTTTTTGGGATCCTATTCTCTTTTGATGCATACCTTCCTAAGCCTGGATAAAGGGGGAGGGCCTTGGACTTTCCACAGGGCAGGGTGCCTTGCCCTCTCTTATTACTGGAGAGGGGTGGAGTGTGGGGGAATGGGAGGGAAGTGGAAAAAATATAAGAAAAAAATTAAAGAAAAAGTAATACTATGAGAAATGTTGACTTAGAGCTAAGTGAGCCTTTCTTCATTATATGACATCAATTATTTCCTAGAATGTTACAATGGATTTGAGTTCAAGAGAAATTCAGGCCAGATAATTGGAGATCTGTATATAAAAAAAACAAGAAGAGAAGGAGGGTGATGAGGGCCAGGGTGCTGGTGTCAAAACTCTTGTAAAATAAAATAACGCAGAGATCAAAGTTCACATATTATCATCTTTATCATAAAAACAAAACTGAAAATAACGATAATGTTGTGAAAATAAGATGTATGGGTGTGTGTGCTGCCTGCTACTAGTGATGTGATGAATGAGTAGAATTGCTATTAAAAATAGACACTAAGTGTCTTCCTCTCTCACTCACTGTGAGACTGGCTTGAACTAGTTCAAGATGTCATAGTCTACATCAACGTACATATGAACAACACCCCACCATTACAAAGAAAAGAGTTCATAAAGCTGAGAAATAAAAGTGTGTGTGTGTGTGTGTGTGTGTGTGTGTGTGTGTGTGTGTGTGTGTGGCTGGGGGATGAAAGAGGAAGGGTATGAGAGGGGTCATCGGGTGGAAAGTGGGGGTACGTTTGATCTAAACGAGTTATATGTGTGTATGAAATTATTGAGCAAAAATGAAAAGTAGTCTTCAAGTGTCTGAGTGGTTTTCTTAAACTAGCTGGATGATGCTCGCATTTGTGAGCCAATTAAGATACAGACAATTCAGCTTCAGTTGTAGTGGTGCAGCAATGGCAAGCAGACTGGTCTGCTCTGTGCATGTCGTTATGGTAAAGAAGTGTCTGGGAAAGTCAGCCGATAGAAGGAAGAGAGACGGACAGCCATCTGTGATTGAAGAGGGAAGCAGGCCACCCTTCTTTGTTTCACATCAGCAACAGCAAGAACCAGGCCGACAGTGATGAAGGCAGACTCTCACCCTGTGGTCTTCAACCTCATGCACAGCCCCAGACGCATGTGCATCGACACACAAGCACACACATACAAAAGGCACACACAAACACACATAAAAGAAAATGCTCAACGGTGAAAGAACTAAAACAAAATTACCAACACATTCAGAGCAATTTTTCCTTCCAATTTGTACATGTGTCTTCTGTAGGCATATATTTGTTTACATATTAAAATATTCATTCAGACACATACAGGTTAATATTCAAATTTACACAGAATACAAGGGAAATTTTCAGTAGACACAGACTATTAATAAATGAGAAACACTGGGGAGAAAGGAAGACACTGGAGTCCAGATATAATCTTATTGTTAATAAGTTCCTTCTACTGGGACTTGAGGTGGCTCAGTGTGTCCCTCCGTGTAAGTTTCCTTCAGTTTTTATCCCCAGAAGTCAAGGCCCTGCAGTGTGCATAGACCTCTGTTACCCTAGGGCTTCAGGTGACCTTCCTGTTTGGTCCCTTCCTGGGTGGTGTTTCTCAGCCTGGGATCACAGGCAAACTGTCTCAACTCTTCTGAACTCTAGCTTCTTCTGAGACAGCTGGGGGTGAGGGTAAGCCAAGAAGATAAAGTATTTATCATGGGCACCAACATCACCAGAGACAGTGGCCTTTCTCTCCGACTGGGGATCGCCTAATGGCTCATGCACCGGCTTCCATGCTGCTGCCTATATCAAAACTGTTCCCACAGGTGAGCTGGCCTCCGGGACATTGAAATCGGACTTTTTCTCCCTCTGTGTGTTTTGCTACAGATGCCACTGACCTCTATATATAATCTCCTGTGAGGCGACAATGCCTTAAAATAAAGCGAACTGTAGTAAACGTGCCGAGATCCTGTAGCCACGCGCTGGTTCCCCGTATCGGCTTCCTGTTCCCCTTTGGCTTTTAATCACAAACCTTCTCACAGAAATCAATGATGACCTTATGGTCTTGTTGGCTGGTAACATGGTCTGGTCACTGCAAATTAGAATCAAGTTTTCTGCAGCCATGTGAATGCAAAAATAAGGCTAAATTTTTAATATTTAAAATTGAAGAACCCTCAGCTCACTAGTGAGTTCTGATTCATATTTGTTGTGTTCATTTCTTGTGCAATCAGGTACATCTCCAGATTCTTGCTCCGGAGGGGAAATACCTGTCTAGTGTGTGTCTCACAGATGTTCTCATTGCTCTCCTGCTGCCTATGGTGAGGCTCAGGCAGCTTTGGAATCTGAGCTTAGATTGTCTCATCTGTTGTGTAAAGTAAACCACAGTTACATGCGGAGCTCTCTGGATTAACCAAGAGAGCGTCTCTTCATTGTCATGACCACAGAAGCCCCAAACGGGGGAAAGCCATAAAAGTCCAGGGAGAATCACCTTGAGCAAGATAAAACATTTAGTTTTAACAAGATTAAAATTATTTTTAATGTTAGAAAATAATGTCGGCCCATTTCTAACTGCTTTAGTGAATTCTTTAGACTGTGTGTTTTGTGCTGGGGTTCTATCTATCTTGAGAACTCTACATAATCTGCTCTTTTTCTCTTTATTCATCCCGATTAAACAGATACCATGACTGTGTTTATTTTGCAGCTGAGGAAAGAACGACACAGAATCTTTGGTGAACGGATGCTGACTTTAGCTGCAGGCATGGTGGACTTCAAGGCCCAAAGCTGCATGCCTTGGAGAGTACTCCTGACTCTGGGTACCTCTTAGTTTAGTATTACCTGAGAGAGGCTTACTATAGAGGACAGAAAGAGGAAGCCAAGGCACGCGAAGATGTTGAAGGGGTTTCTAGAGAAAAACTGGAGTATGATCACTAATGTCAAAATGAGAACAAAATTAAAATTCCAAGGGGTATTTTGTGAAAATGGAATTTTGACAGAAGATAATTCAAGCTAAATGAGAATGAGGAGAAGAGAGTCTACAAAGCCAGTAGCTTTTTAAAGAATATTAGAGTCTTTAATAGATAGTTTCAATGGGGCCAGCGAGTGGGGAAGGGTAGATTGCAGTTTCAAATGTGATTAAGCTGAAAAGGAAGATGTTACAACCAGATCATTTCCTCCAGGAAATGAGCCATGATCCTGATAAAGATTGGGTTCTTCAGAGAGGCAGGCAGCAGCTGATCAGGTCAGAGGCAGTGGAGACCGCCTCAGAGTGGAATAGTCCCCCACAGTGCAACCGAAGCCTCAGATATGACACGTTGGCCGACCTGGGGCTGTAATTCTGGATCCGAGGTCCTCCATGATAATCCCAGCATGTCTCAGGTGTACAGAGATGGATCTTGTTGACAAGGGCCAGTGCCTTTAGAGGACCCCTGCTCTGGGATGACAGCTTCATTCGGGGAACCCTTGCATTTATCTCCTCTGGTAAAGCTAAGAAAAGAAATTTAATTATTGTGGTAAGAACACGATATGACCTTCCATAGCCCATTTCTTTGTTCTCATCAGTGCCTTGCTTCTATCTCCATTTCTTCAACCAAAAAAGGGTAAAGTCAAAATTTTTAAAGTTATGGACTAACTTGTAAGTTGGCAGGAGCATTACTCTTACTTCATGGTTACACATCTAGTTGTTATTTACTGAGAACTGTGTTTAGGTTAGATTTTTTTTTTTTAAAAAAGGGGAATTGTTTAGTAATATTTTTTATAACTCGAAATGCTTTTTTTCCCAGTTGGCATCTATATTCCAGAATTACATACACCCTAGAACTAACTTTTTAAGTACTTAACCATAAGAGATGAGTTTTTAACTATTAGAAAGAGTGGATTTGTAAAATTTTAACCCAAGCACCAGCAGATTTCAAGAGCTCTGCCTTGACATTTCAGGAGATGTTTAATGTTAAATGTTTGCGCCTTTGCCTGTAGAAAGAGCACGGTTGTGGTGTCTACACACAGCAGATGCACACAGTGGAGCGTGGGCAATCTCCTCACTGCAGCTCAGCAGACATCAGGGGAGTTTTCTCGTGAACAGAGGAAAAGGGAGAGCCACTCTCTCCCTCTGTCAGCTTGCCCCGACGCCTCTGAACCTTACTTTTGTCACTGACATCCTTGGAGGAGTTTTTTCCAAACTCTGATGTTCCAGTTTCCCCCACCTGGTTCCAATATTCAGATATCCATCATGGAGTCTATGAATTATGCCTAAAAATGATCACAGAAAGTCTTTGTCCTGGCGTGCAGGTTCGACCCTAGCCTCTGTGTTTAAAGCAAGAATCCGGACATGTGACCTCCACAGCCAGGCTCCTGCCTTCCCAGAGGCAAAGGAGACAGACCCAAGGCTGTCATCTCTTCCACATTTTCAGGACAAATCTTCGGTCCCTGGGATAGATGGTACACTGGTAGGCATGCTTCTGGCTTGCTATCCCTCTGCAAGCAGCAAACATTATTACCCAAAGTGACTGGCCCTGAGGGACTGACACATAGCTCTCTCTGTCACTCAGTGCCCTAAAGCAGCCCCCAATCCTACTCTGTCCCCATAGAAAAAGGCCACCCTGGTCTCCCTCAGCTCCTGATTGCTATTCCGCACCCAGAAGCAGAGGAAGGAATGCCGGTCGAGAGGAAACTGGTGGAAAATTTATTTGAAGACATCTGAGTTGCCAGTAAATGTTGGATAATTGTTTAAAGATCAGAGGCACAAGGTAGTTGTGCACAATGGAGGTCTCAGGGTCACTAGCAGGGGGATGGTGATTGAGGCTGGAAGAGAACCAGACCTTGCTTCTTTTTTTTTTTTTCTATTTGAGGTCCATTTGCTATAAATGCATATTCATCCAGGTACTTTCCCCAACCCGCAGAGGAAGGTTATGTCTCTGCAGTAGTCCTCTCTCTGAACTTGGGCAGTAAAATGTGAAGCCCTTTTAAAATACAGAGCCACAGCGGCCACACACAGTCCATCATTTTGATTCTAGGGATTGAAGATTGACTAAAAAAAAAAAAAAAAACAGTTCCGAGAACAATCAAACAATCACAAGACAACAAAAATATCAATGTTTGTCATCCTATAAGCTGTTTCCACTGCTGCCTCCCACGTGGCAAATTCCTCTACATTACACAGGTATTTATCTTTACAAAGACTTGGCTAACTCAGTATATTTGCCATATATAAACATCATTTAAAAATAAAAAAAAAATCTTTGAAAGCTAGTGGCCAGATGTGACTTCTAACACATTTTTTCTTACAAAAGGAACAGGCGCTCCTTGGAATGCAGCTGAAGGCAGTGCTCAAGCATAAAAAAGCACAGACGAATGTATGTGCTACCATAAAGGAATGAAGAACAACAATCAATTAAAATAGCATCTAATATAAACTATGAATAAAGCCACAGGGTGCAGGGGCCAGCCAGGAAAGCAGGCCGGAGCTGGGGAACTAGAAAAAGAGTACAGAAGAGGGAATTTGGCTGACAATCTAAGGTACCGAATAAATGCCCTTGAGTTCCTATCAGTATAATTGCGTGGGAGAAAGGGCGAAAGTTTTGTGTAGAATAAGCGTGCAGAATGTACTCCAACAGTCTACCCTGCGTAGGCAGTGCTTTCGCTTTAACCTGTGAGCACAGGCAGAGCAGCGACTGGCAGCGACCCTGTGTGAAGACAGGGAGGAGCAGCCTGACTGTCCAGCCGTAGACATTTACAGCCAGGGGACCAGGTTTCATGTCAACTCTACAGCACAGCGTCGTCTTCACAGGATACGGCTTGGATAGTCTGTGGGGAGGGTGGCAAGCTATGTCTGCGGTCTCCCTCCCCAAGAGCCCTGGCCTAGTAAATCACAAGAAACACCTGGAAAAGGACTCATTTGAGAAGTAACCGCAAAGTGCATAGCCAGAAGGCCCCTCTAATTTTCAAGGACAGCACTGTTGGTATATTTTCCATCTCCGTTCAGTCCAGAGGAATCTAAGGAGACCTGGCCACTAAGTGTCCCATATGCTCCTGACAAAAAGACAGACAGAACAGGATGAAATATATAAACCCAAGACTGTTACCTCTGGGTTTATTAGTGGTGACAGTTACATCACAGTGACGCAAGATATTCATAAAGGGACAAGCCATGTCAGGAGGGAAGGGGACCTCTGTGCTCTCTTTAGACTTTTCCTCTGAATCTAAAACTTCAGAATTAAAGTTTATTATTCTTTTCTTTTCAAAATGGCTATGTAACTCTGTCTTCTTCTGTTAAATACCCAGCTATTGGCGTTTAATTTAATCTTAGCTAATTTTCCTGTGCACTGTGGTGATTCATGAGCAGATCAAAGATTTCATTTCTAAGAAAAAAATGTGATGGTAGCCATAATAGTTTAATGAAAGAGTTCACTTTAATTGAATTAGAAGGAGACACATTTCCCCTGCCTCTGTTTCCCCCAGGGAGAGAACATTGTGTCATCTTGTTAGCTGGATTCCCCTGGGGCACAATCTCTCACTGGCATATCTGTTATGTTTAAGGGACCCTGGGAGACAGCAGCAGCCAGAGGAGCCCCTACACACACGAAGTACACAGAGATACTGTATTTCTTTCTCCTTTAAAGGAGGGTTATCCACAAGACCTTGACGAATCATTCGCATTCGCCTTCTGTTTTTCCAGAACCTCTGAAGAAGTAAGTCCTCGGAACAGGTTTCATAAACACATCTAGGAGTCCACTGAGCTGTGTTCCTTGAGGAAGCTTTATCAGACAGGAAGACGGCAGGAAACAAGGGCAGTGGGATCATAAAGTGTGTTACACAATGACAGAAACAGCCATCACATCAGCCCCTTCGCAAGCCCAAGCACCAGATAAGCAAGCATTCACCCTGCTCCCCCAGCAACCCTCAAACGCTCCCTATGGGATTGGACATGGCTAATGGCTAACAACTTACACTCCTATCACCACCATACTAACAGAGAAATGGATTCTCAGATGGAAAATCGCTTGAAAGAGAAATCAGGCTCTTCATTATAAACCTCAAGTAAAGGGCAGGCACAAGGTGATGGCATTAAGAAGAGGAAAGTGAGCTGTGGAGATGGCACTGTCTATAGAGTGCTTGCCCTGTTTCCCTTGAACCCACAAAATAAAAAAATTAATAAAAATAAAGGGGAGTGGTGGCACATGCTTATAATCCTGGTGAAGAAGACACACACACACACACACACACACACACACACACACATGTATTGGGCTCGCTGGTATGACAGCCTAGTTTACTTGTTAATTTCAGGTCAAAGAGAAGCCATGTTTCAAAACAAAATGATAATCATGAAGATCCCAAGGAAACTACACACACACACACACACACACATACACACACACACACACACACACACATACACACACACATACACACACACACATACACACACACATACACACACACATACACACACACACATACACACACACACATACACACACACACACACATACACACACACACACACATACACACACACTGGGGAGGGCAAATGACAAAATGTAGAGTAGGGTACAGTAACTGAAAACTCTTGGTGGAGGGAATAGAGTCAGTGGTCTTTGGAGTAGCCGGCAGGATCAGGGAAGAAGAAATAGGGCTTGAAATCCTGCAGGCTCCAAGGCCCTGAGGCAGGCAGACTAGGCTGAGGAGTGAGGGGGTGGGAAATGGTACCACCAAAGAGAGGTGGAACAGAGAGGATGCTGAAAGCCAATGGCAGAACTGGAAGATGGTGAGAGTCTTGAGTTAGGGACAGTAACAAAGGCAAGGCTTTCTTAATAGGAAAAAAATATTCTATTTCAATATGGAATGAGTGACAGGAGAAAACGGGGTTGCTTTCCTTGAGACAGCCCTTTCAGGATGGGCTGGGGAATGAGAAAGGAGATCCAGGATAGTTTAGAGAACCATATCTGTTTAACCACTGAAAATGAAGCTGAAATGAGAATCAACATGTGTCTCATATCCCACGCTGGGAATCTTAGGGAGGAAAGGAGAGAGCTGGGAAGAGAAGGGGGCAGAAAAAGAGGAGAACTCTGGTCCAGGAAGGGAGAGAACTGGGAAGGGAAGCAGGGTAGAAAAAGAAGGAGGGCACTGGTCCAGGAAGTGAGGGATTGGCAGACTCACATACTCAGAAAAGCAGTGTTGAATATTTCCAGACATGTTCACTGGTCATTGTGATGAGGGACATAAAAATAGCGGCTACAGGTGAAAATGTGTCTATTCTTGAGGTCGAACACTCTTCAGAGTTACCATGCAAACCACAGCTACACATGATTACAGTCAGACAATAGGGAAAAATCACATTCGGAATTTCCAAGTCCAGGTGCAGAGAGACTTATGTGAGAGAGTCTTATGAGTAATCAGAGCATGGGACTGTCTATAAAAAGCCCGAGGGGGCTAGAGAGAGAAGCCTCCCTCCACCATTCCCTTTGTCTTTGGTCTGTAGGGACAGC